CTTTTTCGCCGGAATGTCATGCATCTCACTCACAATAATTCTTTCTTATTAACTGCTTGGGTAAAATTTATTTTCCTCCGAGGCAATGAAGGCAACTGTAAGTGTAACAGTCTCTGGTTCTCGCTGATAAGCCGCCCCATAGAAGCAACAACGCTGGCTGGAGAAGATTTGTTAGAAAGACAATATTCCATTGGCTCCTGGAGACTATATTGTATGTCAAACCTATCGACAACAGCATCTACAAAACAATGCCGTTGCATGTCGGTTTTCTTCAAAGGGCATTTTCTTCTGTTCCTTTGTAAAAACAGCTAGAGTCATTTTGCTTCCAACGTGGAAGCATCTTTTCTTTTGTACTTAATCAATCTGCAATTTTATGCTTTTGGTATTTTTTTTCCCAAGTCCAAACTCTCTTATATGCAGATTATCCATTTTCTTTCCTCCAGAACAACACAGATGTCCTTATATTAAAACATGATACAGTGTGTTGACTGATTACCATACAAATGCAACATTTTGTTGTTGGATCAATCGTACTTGTTTCCAAACCAAATGTAAAAGTGTAGTAAAATACAGAGACATAACTGGAACCTTCAGGGCTCCAGTGCAAGAAACCATGAATGGCCCACCCTGATCCCATTCCAAGGCCTTTTCCATCATCAAAGGGCGTTTGCCACTGGTCCCAGGTCCCTTTCCACTGGTTCTGGGTCCTTTCCATCGGTACTGAGGTCCTTTGCATCTGTCCTGGGGTTCCTTCCATATGTCCTGGGGACCTTTCGTCTGGTCCAGGGGCCCTTCCCTCTCAGCTTGGGGCCTTTACTCCTTTATTACGGTTCTGCGGTGGGACTCTTTCACACGTTCTGCAGCAGGCCCCCTTCCCGTCTTGGGGCCCCCTAAGGAAGCAAAACATCAGGACCTGGTCACAAGTGTAACCTTTGCAACCCTGGTAGTTCCGCCACTGGTAAAATATACCAGCATGCCTTTATGAAAATGAAACTCATGCAAAATGTCCTACTTTCTTCCTGGAGTCCTTTCCATCGGTACTGAGGTCCTTTCCATCTGTCCTGGGGTTCCTTCCATATGTCCTGGGGGACCTTTCCTCTTGTCCCGGGGCCCTTCCCTGTCAGCTTGGGGCCCTTTACTCCTGTCGTGGGGCCCTTTATTACGGTCCTGCAGTGGGACCCTTTCACATGTTCTGCAGCAGGCCACCTTCCCGTCTTGGGGCCCCCTAAGGTAGCAAAACTTCAGGACATGGTCATAAGTGCAACCTTTGTGACCCTGGTAGTTCCGCCACTGGTAAAATATACCTGCATGAAAATAAAACTCATGCAAAATGTCCTACTTTCTTTTTATTTTAGCTTTAGAAAGAGGAGATGACCTAATGCTGTCTGTGACATCTCCTTGTGATCTGTTGGGCCCCTTTCACACGTGCGGACTCTTCACTTCATCAGTTCAGTCGTGTTTTTTCAAAGAGAAAACAGATGAAGGTTACATCAGTTTTTTCATCAGTTTTTTTATCAGTTTACCATCAGTTTTTCACATCAGTATTTTACATTCACTATCAATGCAAAAACGGATGCAAAAATGAACCGGTTGTTCATTTACATTCATTTTTCATCCGTTCCATTTTTTTACGGAACAAAAATAGGGATTTCATCTGTTTAAAAAAAAAACAATGTTGATGGATGCAGATGTAAATGGAATCTGTTTTTCCATAGAGATTCATTGATGTCCATTTTTCATCCATCAATGGTTGGATGAAAAGCACACAAAAGGAATGCCAGTGTGAAAGGGGCCTTAGTCAGATCTTTGCCCTCGAGTTTCCAAATTTGTACATCTGCTGGGCAGTTATGAGGGGGGCCATACCCTTCTTGTGGAATTTTTAGTTTAAAATTGACATTGAAATTTTTGCATTTCTCCATTTTTGTGAAATGCATTGGAGTCAGGGAAAGGTAAAATGAACTCCTTAGTGACGGAGGGTAAAACAAGCATTAATGCCTGAACACAATTTTGCAACTTTGACATGTGTTAGTAAAACTGTAGATATCATCGCAAGTACTTTGTGTATCCAGGTGGATTATACCACGTTATTTTCAGGACAAGTTGGGTTTTCTTTTGATGGTAAATGGTTATGACTATCTCCTTTTTTTTTTAATTATAAAAGAGGAACTGGATCGAAATAGTAAAAAAATATATATTTTTAAAATTTAGCAGTACATCTCATACTATTACTATAACTTACCACCAAAGATCAACCAAAAATGAATTCTCCTGCTCCTGACAATCACACTGATACCACTTTTAAAAAAAAAAATCCTACCCAAAATATTCTGACCCTGACCTTGACCTTTAACCCTTACCTTGACCCTAACACTAACCCTGGCACTGACCTAGACCAAACCTTGATCTAGCCATTGTATTTCTTTAATTTTAAAAAATTTTACTTATTTTTTTTACACACTTTTGTTTGTTTACATCTTTCTCCCCTGCAAGGAGAGAAAGATAATATGTATTATATAATGTATCCTGTATGCAGGGGCGGACTGACAACTTATGGGGCCCCCGGGCAATAGGGGATCATGGGGCCCCTGTGTCCTTGCCCACACTCAAAAAAGCCTATAAAAAAGGTACCAGGGGCATCTCATGGGGCCCCCTACTGACCCCGGCCCTCGGGCAGTGCCTGAGTGCTCGAATGGTCAGTCCGCCCCTGCCTGTATGTATACAATGTATCTTTGTAGCCATTCAGAAGAAAAAGAAAACACACGGGGGCGGGCTGCACAGTGACTGATCACTAGTAGCCAGTCAGAGGCTATCACAGCAATCAGATGACCAAGAATCAGGAGTCCTGCGTCCCGATCATTATTATGAGACCCAAGGATCCCAGCACAAAGACAGGTACACCTATATGAGGACTCAAGAATAAAGACTCACTTCCATGAGGCCACACATATGCAAACTGTTGGTTGGAAGAGGCTAAGGTATAACTACAAAAAACCTTTTTTTTTCTGTTTTGGATGGAATGGAGAGGGATTAGATCCCCTGTCAGATTTGTATTACCTTCTGTGCCCTAATATGAAAATCCCCCCTCTATATTTGTCCTGTTTACCATTATCGCCATAAATGAAAGTAAAGAAAAAGTCTCCAGAAAAGTAATAGGGAAAATCTTCCAATGGGGATGCTAGTTCTGATGACCTTGGTGACAACCAGGGATTTCCCTTATTTTGGAGGGATTTCCTCTCACTTCCTGTTTTGGCTTTAATACAGAAAGTGAGGGTAAATGCCCACGATGGGACACCGATGGCAAAAAAATGTGACAGTGTTATAACTTTCCCCTGCTCTATCCAAAATTATTAAAAAAAGTTTTGCCTATAGTTCTACTTTAAGGTGCTTTTTAAGTGGAGCTAAACTATATCTGAGCACCACAAACTGAAAATTCTATTTAATGCATTTTTTACTATTCAATGCCAATTCCCCCATCCATGTCTCCATGCTTTATCTTGTTGAGAAATCATTTTGAAAAACAACTCCCTAGCATTTCTAGCTGTTGCCATCTTGCGTAAGGGCAGATGATTCTTGCAAAATTTACTTCCTGGAATCCATCTGCCCTTAGCTCAGATACGCAGGCAGGAGGGTGAGCTTAGCTGAGAAAGCCCCTCCTATCCATGAAGGTGTATGACATCATTTTGGCCTAGGCCAGAAAACAGGAAGTACTGAAGAAATGTAAAAAAAAAGTTTTTAAAACAAGTAAATTCAATATATCTTCCTGACTATTTAGTAAGGCTACCAGCATAAGGATTAAAAATAGTTCATGTTTATTAAGAGTGTTTAGTTTTGCTGTAACAGTGGAATGGGCTTTAAATGGCTTCTTGACAACTATCCTTGCCCAGTTCTTGTGCTAACCCCCCCCCCCCCCCCCCTTTATTAGCCACATTATTTTACATTCTTTTTACAAAAAGTGCAACAGACAGCATAAAAAAATCTAATAAACTATGTAAAGCAACAGTACACATGTGCAATGATCAGATAGACACAAACATTTCAATGAACGCTAAACAATTATATAAACCAGTTTTCACTATAAACCCCCACCCTCAGAAAATATTCCTATAACTATATACAATAAAGGATAGGTTTACAGCTGAGAATGAGATCTGCCAGCATAGTATGGACAGGGTTAATTACAGCTGCTATGCGGTGCGGCCTGACTGGTTCAGCTCAGTGCTGATGTATCTCAGTGCATCGCATTGTTCAATTGCTTGCTACATGGTTCAAGGCAGTAGATTGCCTTGCACTGTGCTGCTGCGGTGCATGCAGTACTTTTTTTCACTGCACGGCACCGCAATGCAGTGGTGTGAACTGAACAGATATACTATTGTTAGAGGTATAGTCAGGAAATTATTAGGACATCTTCCCAAATTAATGTACAACAACTGGGAAAAAATCCCCCATGAGACTTTGAAGACCCAAATGTTCAAAATAATACTAGAAGTGTTTTACCTAATGTAAAATCTCAATACAAACTTTATTTAAATGATAAACAGACATTAAAAACAAATTGTGGCTGTTGTAATATAGTAACAATCAAAGAATAATTATATTCATGAACAATGTGCCACAATTTCTGTTGACATGGTGGTGGTCAAGCAGTGTCCAGTCAAACAGAATCACCCGACGCGTTTCAGAAGTATAATTCTTTCTTCAGGGGTGTAAGAGACTTAGAACGAAATCACTTATAATGCCTAATCAGTAGAATATTTATCCATCAGCCCACAAGATTAAAAGCAGAAAGTGGCATCCATCATAAAGCCAGGGGAATAGCAACCCAATCTCACCCATATATGGAGAGTCATAGCAGGGACAAGCACAGACGCATGTTAAAGCGGGGGGCCTGTGGTCCCAAAAATTGTATCTTAAGCCCACAATGTCACTGAATGTATGGAAAAGATCCTACCCAAAATAGATGAAATCCATGTGGAACCTTAACCAGAGAGTCCTTATTAGGCCTCTTTTCCATACATTCTGTCAGGAATGGACTGGCCAGCAATAGTGGGACTCCCCTGCCTTATGAGCTGCAGTACCAGGGCTGGCCAGCGGGTGCTCCCAGCAATCAGAGACTCAACCTTGCAGCCAGTCAAACACCTGGAACTAATTATACTGGTGTATTTAAGGGACATTCAGACCTGCAGACTCTGCCTTGGTGTTGTGTTTCTCCTGGGCTCTGTTTCCTGTTCCTGTTCCTGTCTGATTCTCTGCTGACCCTGCTCTGATCCCTGGCTTGTCTGACCATTCTCCTGCTCCTGATCCCTGGCTTGTCTGACCATTCTCCTCTGCCTGACCCCCTGTACCACGCTGCCCGCTACCTGCTGAACCTGGCTTGTGACCCCGACCATTCTCCGCTTGCTCCCCCTGTACCTACCTGCCCGAATGATATTGACCCGGCCTGCCTGACGACGCTTGCATTGTATGTACTGTTATCTGTGGGTGGTTGGTTTGGTTTGTTTGCACTGTGTTATGTTTTAGTATTGCACTGCGTTTATGTTTGTATTGTTAGTGTTAATAAATTACATTGTTTATAACATATCTGAGGTCACACATCTCTGGTCACACCCGGGAGCCCTGACATTACACCAAGGCCAATCCTGACCAGAAGTGGCTGCACAGGGAAGCCATCTTGGCTTGTTGCTGGGAAGGATGGATCTGGATGAGGTTGTGTATTTATATCTGCTAGTGTTTGATGACAGGGAGTATGCTTATCAAACTCTGAAGGAGTATCCCCGGGATGAACTGCTAGAATGTATACGGCTCGCTCATGTTGTAGTAGATCAGGGCACAGAGTTCTCTGAGGTGCAGCCTTTGATTGAGGTTTGTGCAGAGTTGGTTTCATCTGGTACCCCCGAATGCAGGGATGAATTTTTGCCACCATTTAGTGCAGACCAGGTAGAGTCCCTGGTGTGGTTATTAGAGGATGATGTGGGTTACTTTCTGGAGCGTTATTCCACATGTTCACCACAGACACTAAGAGATTGTATAAACGCAGTGCAGTCTTTGGTCAGACAGGCTTTGTGTAAGCTCAGCTTTGTTCAACCCATACTGCAGACATGGACAGATTTGTTGCACCCAGCCTCAGTCAGCTTACAAAGACCCAGTCCTGCTTCTAATCTATTTCCTCAAAACTCTATTCCTGCATTCCCAACAGCTCCTCCTGCCCTGCTATCTACCGCATGTCAGTACCCTGTTCCCACTCGCTGCACCTATCCTGCCTTTAACCCTTAAAAAAGCCCTCTGTAGCAACTGCTCCCTCTCCTGTTCCATCCTCCAGTTCTTCTCTGTCTCCAGCTGCTCCATTCGTTTGCAGACCTGCGTTTACTTGCAGTGCCCCAGTAGTTAAAACCAGAAAAAAGCGAAAATTCTTTCCAACCAATACCATCCTGCCAGTATCCAAACCGGTGAACCTGCCTTCCGTGGTTCAGCCTGAATCCTCTACTCAGCCTGAATCCTCTACTCGGCCTGAATCCTCTACACGGCCTGAATCCTCTACTCGGCCTGATGCCTCTACTTGGCCTGAAGCCTCTACTCGGCCTGAAGCCTCTACTCGGCCTGAAGCCTCTACTCAGCCTGAAGCCTCTACTCAGCCGGACGCCTGCATTCAGCCTGATGCCTCTACCCAGCATGATGAACTGATCCAGCCTGACGATCCTATTAGGCCAGTTGACTCGATGCCCGCTGTTGATCCAGATGATCCGGTACCTGATCCGGTGCCCGCTGTCGTGCCAATTGACTCAGAGCCCGCTGTCGTACCTGGTGACTCGGTGCCCACTGCCTTGCCAGATGACGCGGTGCCCGCTGGCGAGCCAAATGACCTGATGCCTGGTGACCCACTGCCCGCTGTCATACCTGGTGACCCGATGCCCGCTGTCGAGAGCCAGACAATCCGGTACCTGATGACCCGGTGCCCGCTGTCGTGCCAATTGAGTCAGAGCCCACTGTCGTGCCTGGTGATTCGGTGCCCGCAGTCTTGCCAGACGACTCGGTGCCCGCAGTCTTGCCAGACGACTCGGTGCCCGCAGTCTTGCCAGACGACTCGGTGCCCGCAGTCTTGCCAGACGACTCGGTGCCGCAGTCTTGCCAGACGACTCGGTGCCCGCTGTTCCGCCAGTTGACTCGATGCCCGCTGTTCCGCCAGACGACTCGGTGCCCGCAGTCTTGCCAGACAACTCGGTGCCCGCAGTCTTGCCAGACGACTCGGTGCCCGCAGTCTTGCCAGACGACTCGGTGCCCGCTGTTCCGCCAGTTGACTCGATGCCCGCTGTTCCGCCAGGTGACTCGGTGCCCCGCGCAGTCTTGCCAGACGACTCGGTGCCCGCAGTCTTTCCAGACGACTCGGTGCCCGCAGTCTTGCCAGACGACTCGGTGCCTGCAGTCTTGCCAGACGACTCGGTGCCCGCTGTTCCGCCAGTTGACTCGATGCTCGCTGTTCCGCCAGGTGACTCGGTGCCCACAGTCTTGCCAGACGACTCGGTGCCCGCAGTCTTTCCAGACGACTCGGTGCCCGCAGTCTTGCCAGACGACTCGGTGCCCGCTGTCTTGCCAGACGACTCGGTGCCCGCAGTCTTGCCAGTTGACTCGGTGCCCGCAGTCTTGCCAGTTGACTCGGAGCCCACTGTCGTGCCTGGTGACTCGGTGCCCGCCGCTCCGCCTGGGGGCCCGAGACCTGTCGCTCCGCCTGGGGGTCCGGCGCCCGCTGCTCCGCCTGGGGGTCCGGCGCCCGCTGCTCCCCTGGGGGCCTGCTGTCGCCGCCTGGGGGCCTGAGACCTGTCGCTCCGCCTGGGGGCCTGAGACCTGTCGCTCCGCCTGGGAGCCTGAGACCTGTCGCTCCGCCTGGGGGTCCGGCGCCCGCCGCTCCGCTTGGGGGCCCGATGCCTGTCGCCCCGCCGGGGGGGCCCGATGCCTGTCGCCCCGCTGGGGGGCCCGAGACCTGTCACTCTGCCTGCCTGGGGCCCGATGCCTGTTGCCCCCCGCCTGGGGGCCCAATGCCTGTCGCCCCTCCTGGGGGCCCGATGCCTGTTGCCCCTCCTGGGGGCCCGATGCCTGTTGCCCCGCCTGGGGGCCCGATGCCTGTCGCCCCTCCTGGGGGCCCGGCGCCCGCCGCTCCGCTTGGGGGCCCGATGCCTGTCGCCCCGCCGGGGGGCCCGATGACTGTCGCCCCGCCTGGGGGCCCGATGCCTGTCGCCCCGCCTGGGGGCCCGATGCCCACCGCTCCGCTTGGGGGCCCGATGCCTGTCGCCCCGCCTGGGGTCCCGATGCCTGTCGCCCCGCCTGGGGGCCCGATGCCTGTCGCCCCGCCTGGGGGCCCGGTGCCTGCTGCTTCACCTGGTAATCTCCTGATGTGCCTCTGCCCGGAGTCCAGCCCGATGTGCCTCTGCCCGGAGTCCAGCCCGATGTGCCTCTGCCCGGAGTCCAGCCCGATGTGCCTCTGCCCGGAGTGCCTCTGCCCGGTGTGCCGCTGCCCGGAGTGCCTCTGCCCGGAGTGCCCAGCCCGATGTGCCTCTGCCCGGAGTCCAGCCCGATGTGCCTCTGCCCGGAGTCCAGCCCGATGTGCCTCTGCCCGGAGTCCAGCCCGATGTGCCTCTGCCCGGAGTCCAGCCCGATGTGCCTCTGCCCCTCTGCCCGGAGGCCAGCCCGATGTGCCTCTGCCCTGCCCGGAGTCCAGCCCGATGTGCCTCTGCCGGAGTCCAGCCCGATGTGCCTCTGCCCGGTGTGCCTCTGCCCAGTGTGCCCCCTGCCCAGTGTGCCCCTGCCCGGTGTGCCGCTGCCCGGAGTCCTGCCCGGGTGTGCCAGTCTTTGATATCCCGCCAGTTACCAGACCCGGGCGGTGGAACATTTTGCCCAGCTAGGACTGTTTGGAGCGTCCTGAGGCCGCTCCTTGAGGGGGGGGTACTGTCAGGAATGGACTGGCCAGCAATAGTGGGACTCCCCTGCCTTATGAGCTGCAGTACCAGGGCTGGCCAGCGGGTGCTCCCAGCAATCAGAGACTCAACCTTGCAGCCAGTCAAACACCTGGAACTAATTATACTGGTGTATTTAAGGGACATTCAGACCTGCAGACTCTGCCTTGGTGTTGTGTTTCTCCTGGGCCCTGTTTCCTGTTCCTGTTCCTGTCTGATTCTCTGCTGACCCTGCTCTGATCCCTGGCTTGTCTGACCATTCTCCTGCTCCTGATCCCTGGCTTGTCTGACCATTCTCCTCTGCCTGACCCTCTGTACCACGCTGCCCGCTACCTGCTGAACCTGGCTTGTGACCCCGACCATTCTCCGCTTGCTCCCCCTGTACCTACCTGCCCGAATGATATTGACCGGCCTGCCTGACGACGTTTTGCATTGTATGTACTGTTATCTGTGGGTGGTTGGTTTGGTTTGTTTGCACTGTGTTATGTTTTAGTATTGCACTGCGTTTATGTTTGTATTGTTAGTGTGTTAATAAATTACATTGTTTATAACATATCTGAAGTCTGCGTTTCCCTGCGTCAGTCACACACCTCTGGTCACACCCGGGAGCCCTGACACATTCAGTGACATTTTGGGCTTAAGATACATTTTTTGGACCTCTTTGGCGTGCTTCTGTGCTTGTCCCTGCTATGACTCTCCATATATGGGGCGAGATTGAGTTGCTGTTCCCCTGGCTTTATGATGGATGCCACTTTCTGCTTTTAACCTTGTCGGCTGATGGCTAAATATTCTACTGATCAGGCATTTATAACTTATTTTGTTCTACTACATTAAACCCCTGAAGAAAGAATTGCACTTCTGAAACGCGTTGGCTGATTCTGTTTGACTGGACGCTGCTTGACCACCACCATGTCAACAGAAATTGTGGAACATTGTTCACAAATATAATTGTCTTTTGATTGTCACAATATAACAGCTGCAATCTGTTTTAACCTCCCTGGCGGTATTCCCGAGTGTAGCCCGGGGTAAAGTTTCAGCACCACAAGCGGTAACCCCGAGCTACACTCGGGAATACACTACAGCATTGCTCCAGGATCTACTGCGATTCTGCCCGCAATTTCAAAATGCTTTGCTAAAATGACAAATTGCACAACAGTGTGTTCAGGTGCCATTCATTTTAATGGCATCTAAAATGTGGTTTGGTTCTGTTGCGATTGACACGCGATAAATCAAACTGCAATTGTGGCAAACCGAATCGCACAAAACGCGTCACACAGGAGCTTATTATAAGAGATCCCTGCATTTTCCACTTCTTAATAAGTGATTGAACAGCACTGACTGGCATAATCAAGGCTTTGGATATCTTTTTATATAATTTTCCATCTTTTATAAAGTCCCATGGCTTTGTTACACAGGTCTTTTGACAGTTCTTTTCTGCTCCCCATGGCTCAGTATCTAGCCTGCTTAGTGAATCCACGTAAGAACTAACAAACTCATTGACTATTTATACACTG